AGAAGGTATAATGATTCAATGACTAAATTACTGTGATTCCAGCAAATATAATACAATGTAGTTAGTGCATTTATCAAACTTGACATATTTTAACATTCATTTAGAACTGAAATTTTGAATTGAGAACTTACTTGAATAGTGCATGATAGCACCAAGAAAGAATGGTTTGAACTTAAGATCTATATTCCATTTGTGTCTGTATCTACACAGTAGCTGGGAAACAAAAACAAAATAATAAACGTATTTATAAAAATTGGTTACAAGTTCTGGGACCGAACGAAAGCCAAGATCTGCCAGAGTTAAATTCAGTTCAATCAGAGCTGAACGGAACAGTAGCCTGAAATAATTAGTATTAAACGATTTTGGTTGTGGCACAAGGCTGCTGTTGAGCTGGGAGAAAAAAAGTAACAGTCATGAGTCTGAGCTTGGAGGTAGAAAAGACAATACACTGGTGTTATGATTTAGCATGGATTTAGGTACCAGTATCTAGAATAAACAGGAAACACAGCAGCTAAAATGTGCTACAGTCTATTCGCATGAATACATCCAAGCATCCGCTTTAAAGCAGGAGGGTCGTCACCTGCGCACGCGCGGAAATTGAGTCCCAGGCGACGATAACAACACACGCCAAAACCGCAACGGCTCATGGGTAGACGCTTGTTTGTAAACAATGACACGCTGAGGCCATCTGACGCATGCGCACGGTATTAACTCCCTCGCTTCAAACTATCTGCTAAAACACACATTTGAAGCACAGATCATATGACCTATATGTCCACACGTAAATGTCATTGCACTTAACTGACCATGCAGGTCAAAGTTCATCTATGGAAACTGTGGATGCAATAAATTCATTATTATTGTCTATTGATCTATCATTCCAACACTTAAATTACGTGTCACTAGACCACGACGATGATATTCGTCTTTATTGAAACGAAATATAAACAAATTAATCAATGGATTGGTCATGCATGGTCCATGTGATCAAAGGTAGACCTGACATCTGACTGCAACTCTGGGAGTTTATGATATCCACTTCATACTCTACCGTGCCCAGCATCTTTGCGGTGTACGAAGAACAAATTCAAGTTTTATGGTGATATTTCAAGTAAAGCGATACAATAATTAAAATACATTTACCTCAAAACCAATCCATGAATAGGGAGAGACAACATCGTAAAACAACTCAACAGTTTTCCTCCCAACCTGAGAAAATCCGGAGGATGTCATTGCGACTGATTATGACCATGGACCTGTTTACCAAGATAGAACGTAAAAACCGATGCCGAGACGAACCGAGATGAGACGAACCAACCCTATACAAAGTAGCCCCCTAGGTTGATGATATTTGAGTGATTTTTGTTTGTTTTTTTCTGTGTACTAACTAGTGTTTCTAACTACTATAGTTCCAGCGACACTTATTGACAAGGTCTTGTGCGTCGACATGCATTGTCTCTACACATGTGTTTGGACCCCCCAACTGTTTTTCGAGGGCGACTGCCCAAGCAACCCCCCCCCCATTCCGCCGCCACTGTATAAAATAGCTTATCTGATGGGGAAAAACTCATATTCTGAGATTGATGTCAAAATACAACCACCCCATTAATTCGCTCCCATTGTTTGAGGCATTATAATACGTGGGCTAGGGAGTTTGATTCCGCAATACACAATACATTGATAATGAAAGTTAAAAATAACATTACATTGCAAAGTGCCAACTTAATGCAATGACAAT